ATGAAAAGGTTTAACAAAATAAACATAAGACTGCATTCCTGTGAGCAGCTCACCACAGGCTGCATTAAACTAAGATCAACAGAGACCCCACAAATTAAATACACGGTATCCCATCGCATTTCTCCTGACACAGAACAAGCATTGCTGCCCAGGTGCCCTTCCCTTTCCCAAGCAAATAATCTCCATGTGGGCAGCTCTCCTAAGACAGCAAGTATCCAAAGCTTTTATATTTGCAGACGTGTAAGAGGAAACTGCCAGACAGAAATCCAAACCATCCAGAGCGACGAGCTCTTTTCATTGGGTTTATCTGGGGTTCTCTCTTTTTTTCCTAAAGCTTTTGTACCCCTGTTACTTTATCTTCCCAAAAACTGGAACTACCCAGCAATCAATATTGCAAGGTTAAAGCAATACCCAGTTGTGCATTGGACAGCTCAATCCACCCCCTCCCTCCCACTACCTTTGCGCTGGAAGGCAAACAGAAGAGGACAGGAAAAAATTATATATCTGCTATTAGGATTAGCTGGAGCAACACAGTGTTAGCTCTAGAACCCCGCCGTGCTGTTAGCCAGTTATGGCCAAATGACCCTTCCCACTCCCACCAGGCACAAGCCAGAGGACTCAGCCTTGGAGAAGGGAGGCTTCATCAGGGTGCCAGGGAAGCCACAGTGTGTTTTAGACCTCGGGCACCTCTTCAGCAGGGAAAGAAGAGGTTCTTGCTGCCACATCCCACTGTCTCACTGCAGAGAGAAGGCAACTGGCTCCAGCAAGGCTAGAGTCCATGTGGCCATTTATGAGAAATGCACAATGAAACATACGCAGTGTGTATGATACGTTCAAGAGTAAAAATAAGAACAATGCATTGGCTCTTGTAGGCAGCATCCATAGCTCGTTTGCCATGACAAGTAATTGATAATTCCAACTCTCCTAACTTTCTGGTAATGCATATTTGGGAACTTCTAAGAAAGGCCAAATGTGCAAACATGGCTGTCAAAGCAGAGTTCTGCATTTCCTGAGAACACAGTAAAGGATTTAGGTGAGCATATACACAGATGTGAAAGGAATAATAACCAGTCCTTATGTACCTGCAGTAGCAGAAGGCAGCATGCTGCGACAAGGCAGATCCTTCCCCATCCCACACTGCTGCTGTTGAAGGAGCAGCACAGGCACTTGTCCTTATACAATACTGCAGGTTTAAACAGAGAAGCAGAGGCAGCTGGGAGATAAGTGTCTCCAATTGGAAGCCCAACAGGATGTTAAAAAACTTGTAAGTGACAGGCTAAAGAGGCCATGTGCCCAGGCTCTTCCTGTAGCTCAAGGGCTCCCACATGATGGCCCAGCCTCAGCTGGTGCAAACCAAATTTGCTCTGCTGCCTCTGACAGACCTGCATCAACCTACTCCAGCCAAGGGTTAAGGCACACGGCTCTGGGACATGGCTCACCTGCCAGCAGCTGTGTAGAAAAATAACTCTGGGGAAAAACAAAACAAACAAACAAAACAAAAATGGAAAAACTAAACCAAGGGAAAAAAACACTCTGAAAAAAGACAGCCAGGAATAATGCTAGCTCAGGAGAAATGCCTCTCTGTTCTGTAACAGCCTAGAAAAGGGGAAACTGCAGAAACTCCCTTCATAGGACTTTAGCATCCTACCGTAATACACATGAACTGCAGCCCTCAGGATCACAAAGAAACTCCTTTGTCCCAGCCATTCCAAACCTGGTTTGGTTACACACCATCTCCCCAGGGCAGGATCTCCTAACAATCAAACAAAAATATTTTGCATTTTTCCACCCCTTTTCCTTCCCCCCTGGGGCCTAGTTCAAAGCTCTTTTATGTCATTCTGGCAGTAGAATATGATTTTAGGCAGACAGAAACAGCCCATTAAGAGATACACCCTGTGCAAGGTATCTTGCTGGCACTGGAAAGTTGGCAGCACAAAACACTTGCAGTTCCCTGCCCCCAAGTGAGCCCAGAGATCAAGTGACAAAAGAAAGCATCGTGCTGGAACAAGGCAGACATGCTGTGAGGTGGCATCAAGGGACATGAATCCTTCTGCAGCTACGTTCAATGCTGCTAAACTTTTCTTCTCACCACACAAGACTCTCACCTCCCAGACTTCACACGGACATACCACCCTCCAGCAGCCACCGTGAATTCAGCAATTGCCCTCCAAGTGTGTTTTATTTCCATAGCAGGGTGAAAGAGAATCCAGATATTTGCTGACATCTGTAAACCAACCCCCAGCCCAGCAGCAGAGCCCTTTGGAGGACCAGAGATGGAGACCATGCAGCCCTACACCACACCTAGGTGCTCCTTGTTGAGGGCAAAGGAAGAACTCATCAGTCACTGCTCTTACAGCCTCCTAGCTATACATTATTCAGATAAAACCCAGAGTGCCAAGGATAATTAACTTTTTTTTTTTTTTTTTTTTTTTTTAAAGATTGTTAGGTTTCCCAATACCTTCCCCAACAGGTACTTCCCCCTCCTATCAATATTATATGTTATGGCATACTGATTCGCTGTTGTTTCATCTTAACTTGTTCAAAACCAAAATTACAAGAGCATGTGTGGATGAAAACAAACCTACTTTTTTATGTAATATGGGACCAGATAATTATTTTTTTTTTTTTTTTTTTTTTACAGCATTGCATGGTTGTCACATACACTGCAACAAGGGTGTTGCATAGATCAGGCTTTACCCCTCACAGGAGAACCTGCAAAACTGGGCCACCAGTCAGGGATGCTGGACCTAGATGTGTTTCACTCTAGCTAAACACAGCACAATATTTTCCCACCTAAAAACGCTGTTGCCGTACTCCAGAAAAGCTGTCCCTCCTACTATTTCACAATTCTCAGCATGACAACAGTTATGCAAGAACAACTGTACAGGCATACGAATGTTTACAGCTCCTAAGCAAGACTTTCCCCATTTTAACTACCCTCATCAGAGCACAGCTCCAAATTTTCACAGCTCCCAGGTTTTGAGGACATTTCCCCCTGTCTTGCCCACTAATTTAAATTTTGGCAGGAAAGAGGGGGGAAGGGCAGAAAAGGGGAGCAAACGTCCCTGACAGGCTCTCAGTGATTTCTACCTCCTAGTAACTTAATACAGCACGCTACCCCTTCTTAAAATGGCAGCAGGAGGATCTTCTAGGGCCCTGGCATCTCAGTAAGACATTAACAAGATTGCTGGGCATCAAACAAGACTGCAGACTTTCCTTCAGAGCAGTGCCAGGCTCCAATTTACAACACAGATTTGCTCCCCTTTCCAACTCCGCCATCCATCTCTGCCACTGATCACCATCGTCCTCAAAACGTAACACTCCTTACTATGATGGGGACTCGGTGAACAAATGAGCCCAAGGGCACAGCACCAGGAGAAAAACTGTACCCGTGTGAATGACAAGTAGTTCACAGTTAAAAACCTTATAGGCAAGACATTCAAAGAGGCAAATGCTCATTACATACTGGTGTTTATTTTCTGGTGAAGAGACTAGAGTAACTCCTCCTGCTAAAGCCCATCTATACCTTTATTTATAACAGCCTGGAAAGCTAAAAGCAAGCCGAGGAGAACCGGAAGACAACCGCCATCCGAGTCCTACAAAATATGTCGTTATCAGCTGAGTTCCACTCTAGTTTGATTGCCTTTTGCTTGCCATTGCCAAGAAGTGAGTTCTTGAGGCAAAGCCACAGTGACTTGCAGTGATCAAAATCACTGCAGATACAACCCCAAGAGCAGCAGCCACGCCACGAGAGATCAGATCCTAATGTCAGTGAGACTCTCAGAGTCTCATGTGCTACAGTAAAAACACCCCATCTTTAAACACCTAATATCTAAAATATATTAGACCAAATATATACAGCTGAGATCCTGCTCTGATGTTTGTTACTCTGACAGCCTGGCAAGGTGTAGAAACTAAAAGCTGTGAAGCCCTGCAGGAGAGAGGCCTGGGGCACTGGAAAATCTGATTTCCATGACCGCGTCCTTGTCCAGCACAAGCCCAGCAGCTCTGGAGAGTGCAATGGGAGAAGATTCTGAGGATGCTTGGGGTCCAATTCCCAGGGTGACCTTGAGGAAATCCCACAGAGTCCATCCACATTGCCATGTTCCACATCCACAGGAGGAAAAGCACGATAACCTTGACCTACCTCAAAGAGGCGCAGATCTGGCTTAGGAGAGCCTGGAAGGAGCTCGGAGGGGGCTTACGCAGGACCCTGCGACCAGGGCAGCCAGAGGCTACAATCCTACAAATCACCCCAGAAATAAGAAGCCCTGAAGAAACATGCAAATCGCTTTCGGTATGAAAAGCAGCAGCTCCGGGGCACTACAGGGCACGACTGAAACCACACACGTGTCACCCCCAATTTCCCCAGCACGGGCAGGGAGAGGAAGGCGGCATTGCTACAGCCCCCAAGGCCCGGCAGGGCCACCCCAGCACCACGGGGAGCACGGGGCAATCTCCCCCAGGCTCGGCTTTCATACATGGGCACCTACGACCCCAAATTCGGGCAGGGGGACCCCCACCCACCGGGATGAGGGAAGTGGTTGTAGCAACCGGCACTTCCCAGGGCGAGGGGCGCAGGTGGGGGGGCCAGGACGGCTTAGCTGTAAGCCCCGGGGTGAGGGGGGTACATGGGGGTGGGGGACCAGGGGAGCCCACGCTTCCCGGGATGAGGGCGGTACAATGGGGGGCGAGGGGAGCTCACCCCCCCGGGGTGAGGGGGGCACATGGGGAGCCCGCAGAGCCCGGGGACGAGAGGGGTACATGGGGGGGCAGGAGAGCCCGCAGCCCCCGGGCTGAAGGGCCGTCCCCCCAGGGAGCAGGGGTGCAGAAAGGGGGCCCGGCACAGCCCCGAGGTGAGGGGCCGGGGCGAGAGACGATGGGGCCGGTGCAGCAGGGGCCAGGCCGGGGGAGGCGAGCCGCAGCCCGGCGGCAGGAGGGGTGCCGGGTCCCCCGGCGGCGCCTCCCGAAGGCCGGGGAGGGGCCGCACCCGCACTTACCGGTCCGGGGCGGCGGCGGGTTCCCGCCGGGGCCGGAGGCCGGTGCGGCGCG